CCGGCCCCGACCCAATGGCCACTTTAGTTTTTAAAAAATCCCCCCCCCCCTTCTGGTTGAAAACCTCTAAATACTATACAGATCTCTGGAAAATCTGGAAGGATTCGCTAATGCGTCTGACCAAATCTGACCAACTACGGACCAAGATAGAACTCGACACCCTCCATCGAATGGGCACCTTACTTTTCCAAAAAGACCTTTTTTTCCTCTCAAAAACCTCAAAACCCTCAAAAAACCTTCCAAAGGGTTCAAAAAAGGCAAAAACTTCGTAAACCACATAGGGATTCGCCTATTCATCTCACCAAATCTGACCAAGATAGACCTCGACGAGCTCTATCGAATGGTCACCTCAGTTGTTCGATTCAACTAAGTTATAGTATGAAAAGTGGTAAAATAGTGATATTTCCGGTAATAAATGGTACTAGAACTTTTATATTTAGCCTGGGATTAGGCCAAATTGGTTCATAGATAGATCAATATAGGGGTTTGATGAGTTCTGTCAATTGAACATATTTATAGTTTACTTTGCATGTATGCTCTTTAAAAATTCAGTTCACGTCTTGTGTTAGGAATAAAATATCTACTAGTGATGTGAAGTATGCTGTGTGTTTGAATGGAAGTTATTCTTCATGATTATGTATCTTTATGACACATTCATTTGAATGAAATTATCTCTCAAAATTGGATTGAAAATTGGGTAAATATATCGATCTCTATTAGATAGTTAACATGAATCGCATTGGAAGGAAACGGTGTAATACGGCTATGATGTATGTTTTATTTGATGTAGGGGTGTGATTCTGTAGCGCAGAAGAAGGTAGGTTATCGAACAATCTACATTATATATTGAATGTATGTCTAGATAAAAGAAAAAAAAATGAATATCTCGCCTAAGACGTGTATATAAATAATTTTTCTTCATCAAGTAATTCTTTATTTTCATTGGCTAATTTATTTTTGAGAAAAATATCCCTCTTTCGTTTCTCTTTCCCTCACCCTCATACATATAAATCTTAATTGAAAAGAAATAGAAATTAGCCATTGAATTTAAAATAAATTCTATCGTACATTCGCAAATCGATTTCTTTACTCTGTTATTGCTATCCATTAAACTATTATTCAATTAATATCAAATGGATGATTCAAAGTCAGATACGAAACGTAAGAATATTTGGTCTCGAATTCTTCATTAGCAATATGTGGATGGTATTGCATCTTTCGGTGATCGTGTTGATAAAATGGAAATGTATGAGAAGTGCGAAATTCAACAGATATGGTGTAATATGTACTATATGTTCGACTTCCTGATTTTTGATAACTTCGTTATTTTTTTATTCATTGACGTTTCTTTGTTGTATTGTAATGCACAAAATGTTGAAATAAAACAAACTAATTATGAATAGCTAATTAGTCCTGAAAATCACCGTATACATTTTATCTCTTGTTCTTTTTTCATGTCTTTGATGAATATGACGTCCGTCGCTATAGACAATAAGTTAAAGAGAAAGAGATGAATAAGCGAATTCAGTATCTATCGCATACTTGGAACAGTCAGTAAGAAACAAAATGAAGAAAATAAAAAAATCAAATGGATTTGAATGAAACTTCTTTCCAAAATATCAAAATCAGTTGCATTGTTCTTTTTTGTTAAAGAGATATACATGGAAGTTCAGTGATAATTGAATGAAGAAAATGAACAAACACTTTCTTAATTATATTTAATCTTTGAACTTGTTCAGTGTCCGTGGTGTTACATACAGACACTAATTTGCGTAATTTAATTAGCCATTTTCATCAGCTAAGATGCATATATAAAGTCCGAAAACCGAAATAAGTTATTATTCACTAAAATATCTATACATAATATTTTTCACAATCATCTTTATCACAATTATCACTATCATAAATTCGGCTCCTGTAATATATATTTATTTTTAATAAAGCGCAATTCTAGTTCTAATTTTGTTTTTAGGTATATCATAGTCTGGATGATTTGATAAATAAAGAAGTTTTATTATCAACAATGTTATAGGCGACATCTCTCTCATATACATATACTTTTTTTCTCTCTCTCTCTCTGCCTAGATCAATTGTTATACCTTCTATCTCCCTAGATCTTTTGTATTAGTGATATCTTCTTTTGTTCCTGTGATATCTATTCACTTTTCTTTGTACGCTGGCATATAAATATGTACGTGTGATAGTGTGAAGAGAGAGCNTCTCTCTCTCTCTCTGCCTAGATCAATTGTTATACCTTCTATCTCCCTAGATCTTTTGTATTAGTGATATCTTCTTTTGTTCCTGTGATATCTATTCACTTTTCTTTGTACGCTGGCATATAAATATGTACGTGTGATAGTGTGAAGAGAGAGCATCGAGAGGAGTGTTTTTCCACGCGTGTAACTTTTCATTTTCACAATAAACTAAGAAGTTCCGATAACACAAATCTTCTTGTCTCTAATAAACAACTAGTCTTACCACATTTTATTCTTCTAGCAGTACTATTCGTTCTACTACAACTTCAACAACAGTTACTGAAAGGATTGAAAAAATTAGCCACATCAAAAATTCCATTGACACTGCAACTGATTATGTTCGCTTATTGTTACCTTCAATTATTGCTTTTGGTTCAGTGATACTTTCTATCGTATATTTTTGTTTTAGAAAATGTGTTCTTAATGGTGGAAAATGCAAAGTAAGGATAAAATATTAATACCATATATATATATAAAGACGTTTACATTTTTTAGTGTGCTTGGTTCTACCCGAAATCTCGTGAATTATATAAAAGGCGTCAAGAGATTAAACGACGTAAGTAATTATTGATTATTCTTTTTGGTATATATTTTTATATTAATAGATCAAAATATAATACTAAACCAACCTGTAAATCAATTGACTCTTATTTATTCAATTGTTTAGTTCATAATTTTTGTTTTTTTGTTTCTTATTCAATAAAATTTCATTTCCATGTAACATTGATGATGACAATTTTCTTCATAAAATGACAATTGATAGTGATAAGATCACTACCTTTCATCATGGTATCTTTTATTTAGAAATCGATATGACAGCACAGATAATAAAGAATGTGACAGAAGAAAGTGTTACTTGAAATCTTCGTATTACCGATCTGTATTTCTAGAATAAAATTAAATCAAAGAGATATTTTTATTGTTCGAGGCAATGTAATAGATGACGAGTGAACTATATCAAAGAAAATGAATTGATTGGACACAGATATCTTCAATTGAACTTTTTCTTGATTTTCTCACGGACAATTATTTCTGCTACTAGCGTTACTTCAGTACATTAATCAAATGAATCATATAGCAAGAATTTTGTTATTCATTAATTTGATTAACACACCGTTGCTTGTTTCCACTGAAGATTTATCGGACAATAAAGTCATTATTGATATTGTAAAAGGTTATACTCTTCGGCGTATAGGTGTATATTCGTCGCAAATTGTACCTGAAGTTATTCATACATTCATACCTATTGATAACTCGTGTGTTAGAATGCCGCAAACAGATGTATGTTTGTATGCTTCATCTAAAGTCAAAACCAGTATGGTTCAACTTGGAATAATGATAACGTCTGATCGAACGAATCATTTATCGTCTTCTCCTTTTTCTTATGATAGCGAGAATGTATCAAAATTAATCAATAAAGAAATCAATCAAGTCCTTATGCAATATCACACCGATCATATTATTAAGGAAGCACAATCAACGGCTCATTTTATTGATAAACAATTCTATTATAATAAAAAAGAAGAGAGCAATCCAATAGCACTACCTACTAACAATACTGTTGATACTTATTCAAACATCCCACATTTTTATTCAACAACAATTGAAACTATTCAAAAACAAATTATGACCAATAAGATAGGTTTTGATTTTTTATCTCAAGTAGATTTGAATTTCTTTTTATCAACAATATATGCAAAATTTGATCGTACACATATAATTGAAAATACAAAGCAATCACTAGTCATTTTTCTTCAAACTGTTATCGGACAATCTGTATTCTTATTACGTCATTGTTCAATGAATTCTCAAAATTCATTACTTTCTCAACCATGTTTAGTTATATCGACATTATTTGAACATATCCCAGCTGACGCTACAACAAATTTTCTTGTTTATCGTTTAACTCCTCTACCAATTGTCTCTAATGGTAATAAATATATTTATTCAAATCTTCCAAAAATAATCGGAATAAATCCAACGTATCAATCAATAATTGCATGGAATAACGACATTGATATTCAACAATGTACATTTTCGTCTATCGTTCGATGTGAGCAATTTCCTATATCAATGCCTATATCTAAATCATTATGTATATCTCAATTATTGAATGATGATCAATCAGTCACTAATACGTGCCAGATTAGTCGATCACAACACATCGATCAAGATGTGATTAATATCGTCAATAACATTTGGTTATTCCCTCGACTGAAAGGAGGGTCATACGAAAAAAAATAGTTTGTCTGTTTGTGTCAGGGTCAGAGGTCAAAGATCAAAAAAACATTTTTTTTCGAAAATGCTCACAACTTCATGAAACATCGTTTGGGAGGGACCCTGAGGCTCGAGGTTGGCTGGATGATGGGTGAAGGAGCAGGGACGTGACCGAAATGAAGAAAACATTTCATCCGCGTCTGAAAGAAGGGCTACATAGAAGAGTTGATTACGAAAAAGTAAAAACACACTCGGTTGACTGTCGCATAACAAAGGCCAGTAATCCAAAAATACATTCATTCACAAGTTACATACTGGAGAGCAATCTTAAATGTTGAGCTTCGATATATTGAAAGTTTTTGTAGGCCTTTAAGCCTTTTAATTAAGAAGATAGCCTCAAATGTTCGGACGCGGATAATTTTATCTATGAGATNACCAGATCCACATCCGTATCCACGTCAACATCCACGTCCACATCCACGTCCACGTCAACATCCACAACCAGATCCACATCCGTATCCACGTCAACATCCACGTCCACATCCACGTCCACGTCAACATCCACAACCAGATCCACATCCACGTCAACATCCACGTCAACATCCACGTCAACATCCACAACCAGATCCACATCCACGTCAACATCCACAACCAGATCCACATCCACGTCAACATCCACGTCAACATCCACAACCAGATCCACATCCACGTCAACATCCACGTCAACATCCACGTCAACATCCACGTCAACATCCACATCGTCAACATCAACAAGTGAGTTTTGAAAGGTTTTGCACTTTTTTACAGATAATTAATCGTCGTTCAAAAGCATAAGTTACAGTAGCATAATAAAAGTATTTCTTATGGATATTCAATATGTCAGAGACTAGCAAATCGATGTATATGCAGTATAATTGTAGATTGAAGAAAATGTCTTCTCCTCTTTATACAAATGTTGACAACTTTTGAGTCTGTTTGTGCTTCAACAATTGAAAAAAGACACTATTTTTTCATTTAAAAATATATCTTCCCTTTGTAGCAACTGCTTTGACGTATCGGTGGAATGTAACAGGTATCACTGTGGTTAACAACATTTCTGGATATGGTATGCTACTTGATGCATCCAACGCGCTATGGATTGGTAATTTAAATTCGAACAATGTTCAAAAATATACTCTAGGTGCATCAAACGTCTCAGTAGTTGCAGGCCAAGCAAATGGAACACGTGGGAACTCCTCCAATACTCTATTTGAGCCAGTTTGCTCGGCTTTTGGTTCAAATGGTAGCCTGTATATTTCAGATAGACGTAATTCTCGAGTTATGCTTTGGCCGAATGGTGCATCAAGTGGCTTGCTTTATGCTGGAACAGGTAAGCTATTATAAGATGACATATATCGTAGTGTTATGGAAAAACAAAAAGAGAAGTGGATCCTGAATCCTTGGATCCTTAGAGAGCCTGACATATGAAAAAACTCGTTTTTTCCTATTTTTTCTTGATTAATATAATGATTGTAATTTGTTGTTAAAACTGCATTAGTAGTCTTTCTCTATCCCGTATTTATTAACGAAGAAAAAGAAAATCTAAGATCCAGAATCCGCTTTTCCACCTAGGGAAAATAGAAAAAATCTATTGTTACATAACACACGAACTATTTGTAGGTGTTTCTGGAAGCGCAAATAATCAATTGAATAATCCTACCGGAATTATATTTAATACAACTTCAGGTGTTTTATATGTCGCAGATGCAGGTAACCATCGTATAATGGCATATTTTCCCGGTAATACGACAGGAACTGTGGTCGCTGGTGGAAATGGTGCGGGAAACAGTAATACACAACTGAGTCAACCTTACTGTTTTCTTATTGATTCAGTCACAAATAGTTTTATAATTGTTAACTACGGTAGTCATACAATTGTTCGGTGGGTTATGGGTGCTAGCAGTTGGACACTTCTTGTTGGCAGTCCCGGAAACAGTGGTAGTACGTCGACTCTACTTTCTTCTCCAGTAGGTGCCGCCATGGATCCATATGGAAATCTGTATGTTGCTGATACTAACAACCATCGCATCATGTTTTTTCTTGCTGGGCAATCAAATGGCACAATAATTGCAGGTGCGACTGGCACTGCCGGTTCAAATGCTATTCTTCTTAGCAATCCATACTGGATCGTATTAGATAGTCAATTAAATTTCTATACTATGGATACTGGAAATTCTCGAGTGCAGAAATTTCTACACTATTAAAAAATCTACCATACACACAAGATTTTGACAGAACAAACTTTTGATTATATTTTATTTTATATCCGTATCTTACTTGATTTAGAATGAAATCATAATCGCTCGCTTTTAACATCTTGCGAATGCGCATGCAATCTTTTTATATTAGCTTTCATTCTTTTCCTTTGCATCATTAACAGCAATTATTCTTTGAGCTTTTAAAATAAATAATCGAGTTGAAATTCTAATATCTTATCTCTCATACTAAGTCTGAAATAAAAGGACGTCTGTAAAAGAAACCTTATAGCCACGCTTACGGATGGATGAGTATTGAGGGTGCGGGTGTGTATCATGTAGTAGAATCCTACAATCTAGATTTCGATTTTTTTTGAGGTTCTTTCATCAGGTAGGAAAATATTCTGCATAGAATTCGATAACAAACTTTGGTGGATACTTCTATCTTTCCAAATTTGTTTTTGAATTCTATGCAGAATATTTTCCTGCCTGATGAAAGACCCTTGAGCAAGGCCGAAACTAGACACTAATATTTTGTTCTCTAGAATATATCCAATAATTAATTTGGCCTGATCGAAAGAAGTTTGCTGGTTTTTATGTATGTTTCAGATTTATATAAGCATACCAGATTTGCGTATTAAGTCATGCAACAGAATTCATCAACGAATGTTGCTAAGATTATTTGTCGTATGTAGACCCAATGGTTAGATTCTAAGTCCGCCTATTTTGTTTTCCCATTTGAATTGCTAATGCACAGATATCGAAACATGTCATCACAAGCGTGAAGAACAGGAAATTTGGAAGCACATCAAACAAATGAAGTATCTAATGGAAGTAAATGCCGACATATCTTCTGGCTTATGGTCATTAATTGGTGCATTAGAGAATCGAGCAGACAGTCTCGAATGTGAATTGCGTCTTATAAATAAACGAAGTTTTGATGCA